CCCAGCTGCTCCGCGAAGCTGCGGGGTCCTGATCCCGCAGTCCCCTGATCCCGCAGTCCCCACCACCTCCGCCCCTGCGAGATGGCCTCCTGGTCGACAGGTCCCGGAGGGTAGCCCCCGAGGAGTGGGAGCTGCGCGTGTCGGGAGGGCCCAGGCAGGCCTCATACCGACTGGGGCTCGAGTTGCCCCATTTGCCGACTGGGAGCCCCTGTTTTCGTCTGCGAAATGGGATGCTGATGCTTGTCTCGCAGGGCTTTTGTGACCATTAAGGATACGAGCGGTCGGTAGGACGCTGACAGCTCTTGTTTTGGAGTGTGTACACGTCCATGATTCCTAGGGCTGCGTCCCTGTTAGATGAGTCACGTTGAAGCATCTGGCCCGAGGCAGATAGGTACTCTGAGCTTGGAGAGGTAGTTCTCACCCACCTGATAGGATGGTACTCCTGAATCATCAGACCCAGCCTGTGTCATGGGCCAGGTCTCAGCAAGCACCCTGCTCTGGGTGTCATACAAGACCCTATGTGGAATGCAGACGGGAGCAGACCTAGGTCCTGCTCTTGGGATCGACCCCTATTACTAAGTCTTCCCAAAGTCTTACCAGACTTTACTGGTTTTCTCTAAGAACAGGTCTCTTGTATGTCGCTGGTGACATCCATGGAGGGATGGTAAAGGTTCTGCCACAGAGCATCAGAAAGTGCTAGTTGGACTGAGCCCTCTGGAGGTGCCCACCCATCCCAGCCTGGATACCTACACTGGGCAGGTGCTCACACACACTGTAATTCATGTGGCCTGCACTGTGTGTAAAGTCCATGTGTTGGACCCGCGTGTTGGTGAGACCTGCTCAACACACAGGAAAGCCCAGTCCTCCCCGGACATGCCTTGGCCAGACAGGATTGTAGTGAGAGCCCTGAGGCCACAAAGAGCCGAGGTGCAGGGGTCAAGGGGTGCTTGTGGGTAGATGCATGCTCTCAGCCTCTCTCTTCTCTCAGCTCAGAGCCCTGGTGCTGTGGAGGAGATTCTAGACCGGGAGAACAAGCGGATGGCCGACAACCTGGCCTCCAAGGTCACCAGGCTCAAATCGGTCAGTGGTGGTCCTTTTCACCTCCACCTGGCACCCTGGAGCGGGGATCAGAGGGAGGGTACAGGCCTGGATGGGTTTCAGGTAGTTCCATTCTTGTCCCATCTATGGCAGCACTCACCTGCGTGAGGCCCAGGTGACACCTGGATCTCCTGATTTCTGTGGATTTTGTGGGAGGTCAGGTGCTGTCCATTATGTTTGTCCTGGCCTGACCCTGTTTCCTCTGTGTCCTGACCAGCTGGCCCTGGACATTGATAGGGATGCAGAGGACCAGAACCGGTACCTGGACGGCATGGTAAGGGTCTGCGGTTTGTGCGAGTGTCACAGTCAGCTCTGCCCCATACCACCTGCTGTGCAGGTCCCCACCTGTGTGCGTGTGTTGTGGCATCGCTGCCCTGTGTGACCATCCTGGGATTCCTCCTCAGGACTCGGATTTCACGAGCATGACGGGTCTACTTACGGGGAGCGTGAAGCGCTTTTCCACAATGGCGCGGTCTGGGCGAGACAACCGGAAGCTTCTGTGCGGTATGGCTGTGGGCCTGATCGTGGCCTTCTTCATCCTCTCCTACCTCCTGTCGAGGGCAAGGACGTGAGCCAGTGGGAACTGGCTTCTGTGGGTGCCTGGAGCACACAGAATCTTCCTCTGCCTGGCATCCTGGGCTCTGGAGGACCTGCCTACAAAATACTCTTTTGAAATGATGATCGTGGCTTAGGACTCTTCTTCCTGTGTGGCTGGGAGCCTCTGACCCCGTGAGCTCATGTTTGCTTGTCCTGTGTGTGCAAGGGGCCCATCCCCTTTGGAAAACCAAAGCCCAGCTCTCTCTACCACCTTGAATGCTAGAAGCCCCAGTAGGGCCTGGCCTAAGCAGAGCACCTGGGAATGGACACGGCCACCTGTGGCAGCAGGCTTTCCCCTGGCTCTCAGGGTTCTGACATCTCAAGGCTCCTCTGCCCTGTCCTTGTCTGGATAAGGCCACATCTGGTACTTGAGATGCCTGGAGTTGACACAGGAAGGGGGTGTGGCTGTGAACCTCGAACCATCGCCGTCACCTTCGACCAAGAGTCTTCGGTCTCAGAGATGGCAGTTGTTCCTGTCCAGGGCTGCTGGGCACCAGCGGACCAGTGAGAGCCAAGGGTCCTCTCAAGAGGCCTCTGCCTGCCCTCCAGTTCCACGACTGAAGCCAGACCTTCAGGGAAGGCAGGGGGTTGAGGATGGAGGAGTGAACTGCAGCCTTGGCTGAAGGCACAGAGCCCAGATCCTTGTGGATCTCCCAGGCATATATCCAGGAGCAGAAACTGACAACTTCTCAGGATTCAGGATCTACCTGGCACCAGAGACCAGATCTCTACAAATAGGCCCATCGGGCATTTCAGAGTCAGGCAGGGTGTGAGGAGGGCCTCGTGTGGTTATAGACAGGAAGCTTCAGGTAAGGGCTCTCTTCACAGAACCTATAGATTGCTTCTTCAGGGTCATGGGTAGTTTCCACCAAGCCTGGCCCTTCCACCTGCAACATTCTCTTGCCTCTCCCTGCACTCTCATTCCCCACTTGGCCAGTCCCCTGCTCACACGAACTGAACCACAGGCCCAGACAAACCAGTGTCTTTTTCTTGCCCCACTGTGAGATCCCAGCATTCTTATCTTCACATAAAAACACCTGTAAGAAGCACGTCATTAGCCCTGTGTCCTTTCTTCTCTGTGTCCCCGTCTTCTGCCGTCATGGTTACTCCCTCTTACTCCCCAAGGCCCATTGGCTCCCTGTCCACCTACTCGCACACTCATACCACTTGTGGTCACACATGTCAGCCACAGCCTGGCACCTGTGGGCCCCTGCCGCCTGCCTCGCTCTGCCTCTGGCCACCTGAGCTGCTGGCGCTGCTGCTGCTGCTGCTACTCCTCTCCCTTGCTGTCCACCCAGCAGGCCTGGCTCTCATGCACTCACCACAGCACCCTTCTCTCTTCTACCCGACCTGGATGGGCCCCTCAGCCTCCTGAGGAGGAGGATCCCACCTCTGATTTCTGTTCTGACTGCCCCCACCCCCCCAGCACGTGCTGCTTTCTCACCCGGTGAGGTTGGCTTCCTTGCCTCCATGTCTCTGGGCTTGGCTGTTTCCCTGCCCTCCTTGAAACCCTTCACAGGCCCTGTGGCCTTGCCCTAGTCTGCACTGGCCCTGCGCACCACAGCTTTGGCTTAGTGCTCACTCATCTCGGGTTGAACCTCGTCGAGGGGACTGGCCCACTGCTCACCAAGCTCATGGCTGTTGCCCGTGTAGCATCTCCATCTGGTTGTTGCAGGCACTGCAGGCACACCCAAACCTGAGCTCTGTCGCCCCCCCCCCCGCTTCTGGGCCTGCTAACCTTGCTTCTTGAGAACGTGGCTCAGCCGTGGCAGCCACGCCCCTGAGCACCAGAGGATGCCCTTACATGCTGGGCCCACTCGACTTGCCAACACAGACCAGGAGTTTAGAGTTTGCACGTCTAACTCGGTGTCCTCCAGGAGTGCTTTGCCATCTCAGACCTCCGGCTGCTACATTTTCTCTGCAGCCCTTCTATCTATTTTGGGGTCTGAGTTGTAGTTTCTCCAGTTTACTTTTTTGTTTCTCATTCTTACTGTTAGAATGAGTTCCTGAAGGGGCCGTGTGTCACTGTGTCAGTAGAGTTTCCTGCGAGGCTTTCTCCCTCCTCCCACTCAGCCTTATTCCTGTGGATAAGTCAGGTTTGTGGGTGTTGATCCCTAAGACTGTAAAGCAGAGCAGGAGTTGGGGCCCCTCTGTGCCAAGTGAACACAAGCTGCCAGGCTCTATCCGTAAGTCAAGGACAAGGCATTTAGCAATAAAAATAATTTGGAATAAACAGCCTCGTGATGAAGTAAACACATAGTCTCGTGTTCTCGTCTCCTTGGGGGCTTCAGAGAGCTTTGTCTGGGACTGAGCCTGGCCCACAGACGGGCTGTGGGCACTGATGGTCTAGACTCTGCTTCTTTCCCCATCTCCAGTTCTCCTGGGCCCTGCTTCCCTCCTCACTCACTGCCTCAGGCAGGCAGACGTGGCCTCGCCACTTCCTGCTGCTGGACCTCTCTGTGCCCAGCCAAGGTTCTGTGACTCAGGTGAGAGCATGATGGCATTACCTCCTCAGGATTAAATGCATGCGTGTGGGGTGTGTAGGATAAGTAGCCTGACGTGGTCACAGCTGAGTGAGTCTGAGCAGCCGTGCTGTGCTTTGTGCAGCTATAGCCGGCAGTGCCACCGGGGTGACGGGGCTCCTCACCCAAGGTCCTCAGTGACTTCTCTCCAGGGCTGGGGTGAAGTTCCGACTGCACTCCTCAGAACTGGCCTTGGACTCGAGGGCACCCTCAGGAAACACTCCTCTTCATCCCAGCTCAGACACCCCTTCCCTGCCCACATCCCCCTCTGCCTCCTGTGTTATTTTGATGTACAGCTGGTCACCTTTAAACTTAGCCATTTAAAATTGCAGTAATCATTTGTCTCTGACGGTTACTGCTGGTATCTGAGACAAGCACGGCGGTGACAGTGGTCTCTGCTCTGCGACGTCAAGGCCTTCTTTTGAGAGGCTGGCACTGCCATCCCCTGAAGGCTCGCTCGCGTGTCTGCAGGCTGTTGCTGGTGCGGGCTGAGGGCCCGGCTGGTCACCGCCTCGCCGCGTGCTGAGCTTCCTCACAGAGAGGGGGACACCCGGGCAGAAGTAGTTTCCTTCGCATGTTGTGGGGTCTGACCCCAGAGGTCGCTTCATTCAGGACAGTCATAGGCTCTGGTCCAGATTCCAAGGGAGGGGCACTGACCCCACCTCGGCAGAGTCAGGGGAGAGTCAGTCACAGGGCAGTCTGACCCCATGGGAGGGGCGGATGCAGGTGTGATCATCTTTGGAGGATACGACGAATCGCGGAGGGCGGGGCTCAAGGCAGAATCAGAAGGGTGGGCACAGCGGCGTCTGATGCTCCCAAGCCCTCCTGTCTCCACTCAGACCCCAGGCCCTGGAAGCAAGGATGGGACCTGACGTGGACGGGCCTGACAGCCTATGGGGGCCCCTTTCTGGAAAAGCTTGATCTTCCCCCAAGACAAACCCATTACTAGTGGAATCCATGATTTATTATATATCTGGGCACTGCAGGAAACAAGTGTAGCAAATGGGAAAGTAACATAGGAAAAATAACTGGTCACGACCATCTGAACAAGCGTACTCTGCCCTGCAGGGCCAGTCCGGCTGCAGCCCAGCTGGTGGAGGGGGCGCCCAGGGCCCTGAGCCCAGGGGGCCTGCCGTCGGGGGAACAGGGTGTGCGGAGGCTCAGAGGGATGGGTGGGCGGAGCCGGGGCTATTCCGCATCCACGACCAGGGGTGTCATATAGTCAGAGTGTTTGATGCCAAAGGTGACGATGGGGGCACAGGGCTTGGTCACTGTCACCTAGGGGGGGAAAGCCTGTGAGGAGCTGGGCCCCTGCCCCCACCCCGCAGGCTCTGCCCTCACTGGGGCTGGGACTGCTGAGGGCATTTCTACTTTCCCTCTTAAACCCCGGGCCACAGTGACCAGCAGGAAGTTCACGCTGCTAGGCTTGACCACAGAGCAGCACCCACTGTCACTAGTGCGTGGGGGTACTGAGGGACACAGAGCCCGCCAGCCGGGGAGAGGTCTGGTGCCGGAACGCGCAGCGTTCCGAGGGTGCCTGGCCACTGCGACTGTTGCGGGCTCACAGGCCCTTCCCCACGCCACCCCTCTGTGCCACGTCAGCCACCCCACCCCGGGCTATGCTCCTGCCAGACCTTCTCGGGGCTGTGGGCTCCTGGTCCTGGCTTGGGAGTTTTGTCCCCCGCGGGCTCCACTCGGGCAGCCATGGTGTACTGTGGAGCCTTGAACTTAGTCACCTGGACGTCTGTCTGGCGGTAGGCCGCGGGACCTGGGGTCTGGGAGGTGAAAGAAGCTCAGAGAGGCTCAGCCTGCCAGGGCAGGGGACCCCAGAGGACAGGGCCAGCATCAGACAGTGGATTTCTGGCCCACTGTGTGTCTGTGTCTCTGTCTCAGGGGCCCCTTCTGTCTCTAGACGACAGCCACACCATGGGACATTGCCCCAGTGCTGTGGGACCCCTTCCCTATGTGGGACATAACCCTCTCTTCAGCCTCACAGAGGCAATGACACCCTAGTCTGTGCCAGCCTCAGGCTTGTTCCTTCTATATGTGTGTGTGAGAGAGGCCTCTTCCTAGCTGGAACGCTGTCCTGTGGGACTCAAGGGCCATGGGCTGGGCTGGGCTGGTGTGGTCGGTGGTGCTGTGATGCCACTGTGCCAGGCTCCCCAGGCTCCCCAAGCTCCCGGGCACATGAGCACTTCAGGGCCTTTGCACTGGCTGTTTCTGCAGCCAGAACCCTCCTCCCCCAAATACGTCACAGTTTATTTTTCTCCTCTTTTCTCCTCAGGTTCCTACATGCCACCCTATCTAAGACTGATCCTCGCCCTTCAATCAGCACCCCATAAACCCTTCCCTGTTCATCCCTCCTCAGTACTGTTGCTGTATGCATGCCTGGTCTTGTCCTCTCTGTCCTTGTCCATTGTCTGCCCTCACCACTGGAATGTAACCCGAGGGTGGGTGGGGCTAGATGTGTGGCTGGTGGGTCCTAAGTTCTGGGGGAAGGGGTTATCTCTCTAGGGGGTAAGCAGTGCTCTGCCCCAGCTGGGCGACCCTTGCCTTGTGCAGATCATCGCTGAAGCTGCCCAGCTTGCTGCGGCCCTTTATGGAGAAGGAGGGCTGGGAGACCTTGCCGACAGTGTGGGGCCCCATCACCACAGGCAGCATGTAGGCAGCGGGGCCTGTGGGGTGCACGAGCGTTGAATCCCAGACTGGGTTCTTCCCTGGGCTTTCCACCTACAGGAGGTCAGGCTGGGCCCCCTCACCCGCCCTACCCAGGAGCCCCAACCCACTCAGCCCTGGGCCACTGGGGCTGCTGCAGACCTGGGGTACTGTCCACTCGGAAGGTCTTGGTCCGGGCAGAGATGGAGTGGCTGGGTGCCGAGTCAAACACATGCCTGGTCGATTTCTCTGGAAAGTAGTCACCTGGGGGTGTTGGGGAGGCATGGAGTGGGTGTGGGAGGGTGAGGACGATCCAAACAGATGCCTGGCCCTGCTCAGGCGCCTCAGGCGGGACCCCGACGTTGCAGGCGTGGGGCCTCTGGGCCCCAGTGGGTGGTGACTAGGGTTGTTCAAGGGGTGTCCCGGATGGAAATGCTGGCTGCGGGAGCCCGGGAGACAGGCGCCAGTTTTGAGGAGGGAGGGTGGGTCTGATGTGGGCCTGGGGTTAGGGTTAGGAAAGGCCCAGGTCACAGTTGGGCGTGAGAGTCTCAGAGGCTGCACTGGGGTCCCAGCTCCCCGACCCCGGCCTGATGGTGCCTCTTCACGAGGAGGAGGTGCGCCAGGAGGGTGGGGACAGCTGTGCTCCTCACACCCGTGGCTCACCAGGCCTGCAGTGGCCACCAACAGGGCTGGTCGGGGCTAAGGCTGGGCCAGGGCCCCTCACCGGGGCCGGGAGTCAGCATGGTCTTAGTGTGGTAGCGCCCCAGGATGGAGTAGGCAGGGCCGACGTCCTTGCCGGTCCTCAGTATCTTGGGGTTCACGCTGTAGCGGGGCCCCGGGGAACAATTCTCTGCCAGGAGCATGGGGGCCCCTCGGAAGCTGTAGGCGGGTGCACGCAGTTTGGTGGGCGTGTGCTTCACAAAGCCTGTGGTGGGGGTGGCAGGGGCTCTGAGCAGCCTGGAGCCAGACCCTGCCCTTCCCCCTACCCCCCATTGACCCAGAGGGGTTGATGGGTCGGGAGTCAGGGGTGAGCCCCAGCCCTCCCCAGGCCCACCCCAGATCTGGGTCCTGCCCCACCAGTGTCCCTCCCGGGCTCCCGAGCACTTACCCATGGTGGGTGGAATCAGGTACTTGGGTCCAGGGCTGCTGTAGAGCGCCATGATAGGCCCCCGGGGACGATGGGGCCTCCAGGCGCCCACCCATACCTCCTCCGCCATGACTGGCTCTGTCCACGGATGAGAGGGTGACCAGGTGCTGGGAGGCCCAGGTCCTCCACCCTTATCCCAGACTTTGCCCCCACTGACGGACAGAACTGCAGCTCACAGCCTCCTCAGCAGGGTCTCAAGCTGGGGCCCAGACTCAAGAGCAGTGGGAGTTTCTGCTTTGGGCAGTGGGTCTCCTCTGCAGCACCAGCCACAAGAGGGGGAGCATCATCCCTCGGGGACAAGCCCTTAAGAGGTGTCTCTCAGCACTCACCAGCCACCCTCATTGGCTCTAAGGGGGTCTGGGCAGGTTCCTCTTACTCAGAGGACCCGGGTGTGAGTCTCAGAGGCTGCACTGGGGTCCCAGCTCCCCGACCCCGGCCTGATGGTGCCTCTTCACGAGGAGGAGGTGCGCCAGGAGGGTGGGGACAGCTGTGCTCCTCACACCCGTGGCTCACCAGGCCTGCAGTGGGCAAGGAGCAGTGGGCAAAGGTGGGGAACCTCTTGGATGAGACTCTGCCGTGGAGGCAGGGAGGGACCACTCCGGAAGGGCCCTTACCTCTTTGGTCCAGAAGCAGCACTCAGAGAGACCTACGGACCCAGCCTCCTCAGAGGCGGTCCTGCCACACCAGCCTTGCTGCCAGGGAGTTCCAGAAAAGGAGCGTGGAGAGGAAGGCCTCTCTTTCTCTCTCTTCTCCCCCTGGGGGCTTCAAGAATTGGGGAGGGGTCCCGGCCCCTGAGCTCTAGAATGTGGTTCTGTGGGATGGTAGGTTCTAGATCACCGCATGTATGATGGAGACAATGGCCTGGGCCCGAGGGACCCCACCCTTGCCATGCACGGCTCGGGTCCCAGGACTTTGCTTCACTCTTTGTGGTAGTGTGCTGGACAGAGGTGCAGGGGGCAGGAAAGAGGACAGCTAGGTCCTGGACTGGGACAGTGAGGCCTTGGGCCCTAGAGCCAGAGTGGCCCAGGAGTGAAGGTCGTGAGGGGCAGGCCTGCCCCCGGTGGAGACCACTGAGCTGGGGAAACTGAGGCACGGCAGGCTTTGGCCTTCGAGGGTCCTGGGACTCAGGGTGCAGTAGGGTCTGTGCTGGCGGGGGGTGGGGGTGGGAGCTGGCACGGGTTGCTTCTGCTTTCCTGAGGGACCCTCCTCTGACCTTGCTCTCCCTCCTGCTCATGATGGCTGTGCCCACCCGTCGGACCCTGAGTGCCCTCATTAGCAGGTTCCTCTTGGGGCTCCGGCTAGGGCTCTGCCTTTTTCCTTTGGTGACTTCTCAACACCCTAACCCGTGCCACGTGCATATTGTACATGTTTATTGTCTCAAAACAATAGTTTTCGGATGCACGTGCCCTCACCCAGCCTGTTACCCCAGCCCTGGCCACTTTGTTTCTGGGGCTCTTTGCCCCTCCCTGCTCTGAACCTCTGCCCCTGCCTCCGCCCGCTGCCTCTGCAGACCTTCTTGGGTCCTGACACCTCCCTGCACTCACAAGTCTGCCTGTCTGTCTATCTTGCTCTGTCCCCCTGCCAACATGGGCATCTGCCTGGGTTTCCACTGGTGGGTCTGCCCTCTACGTGGGGTCACTTGTAGTGCATGCTCCACTCACGTGACCCTCTGTAGGTGCGTCTGTATGAGTGTGTAGTCCTGTCCCTGAGGGTGGGGAGAGACAGGAGCCAGAGCCTGAGCTACAGGAGACTTTATTGATTGGATGGTTTGAGGATAAAGTCAGGCTTGGGGAAGTGGTAGGGTGGAGCTGCCGTGGTTGCTTGTGTAGCTGGTCCTACGGCTGCTTGGAGCCATGTCTGCGTCCACTAGGAGCCATCCTGACTGCCCAGCACTTGCACCTGGAAGGCAAACATGTGTGGGCCAAGAGTCCCGGGGGCCCCATGTCTGGTGGTCAGTGACCAGGCAGACAGGCCCAGGCCAGCTTCTGGGGGATAGTGAGCTCAGCACGGTGCAGCCAGTCCCCTTGTAGCAGCTGGGGAAGCAGTGTGTGCATGTTTGAGTGTGTGTGTGTGCGCGCGTGCACACGCACGCATGTGCGCCCAAGGGGAGGCTGGGGGCTGCTCTGCAGGCAGTGAGGTCTGAGGTGTCCACCTCTGCTGGCTGAGGCAGGTCAGGGTGTCTGTGGGGTGGTAGGGTATGGGGTCACTGCATTGGTTGAGCGATCATGGCCACGGCATTTGGTGGAGGGCCTGAGGAGTAGGGCTGTGGGTCTTGCTGGGGCTTCAGGCTTCTAGGGATCGGAGTGCCCCCACCCCCCACCATGGTACCAGCAGCTTGATGAGCTCCGCCTTGTGCATGGGCTGCAGGCCATCTATGCAGGACTTGAGTTCAGCCATTGCTGCCTTGGCATCTGCATTGACGTCGTACTGGCCCAGGGGCCCTTCATAGAGCTCCTCTGGGGACCCCACCAGCAGCGTTTGCAGGAAGTCCATGAATATCTCATTGGTGTCCTCCCCTGTGGCCAGCCCTGTGTTGTGGGGACAGGCTGATGCCATTCCAGCCCCAGCCCCAGACCTCCCAGTGCTCCAACCTTGGGGGTCTCCAGACCTCCCCCACCAATGCCCACCTCACCTGCCCCAGCTCTTCCTCCACAGCACCCCTCGCCTCCACCTGCCCACAGACCCCTCCTGTCAATCCTAAGCTCAGCTGCCTCTTTCCACTCTGGGCTCTCCAGCATCGCTAGGGAAGGGAAGTCAAGCCTTGGACGTGTGGAAATGTCCCCTCCGTGTGAGGCTGGCTGACCTGGGGCTTGGGTCCGGGTCAGGGTCAGCCTGGGCTAGGGTGGGTTGACAATACTGGGCTTGGTGGCGACGCTGGGGCTGGGACAGAGGCTGAAGCTGGGCTGGGGTCTGGGCTGCTTTGGCTTGGTCTTTGGTTGGGGTGGGGTTGTGTGGGGACTGCGGTGGGCAAGGGCAGCAGGGTTGTTGCCGACGTCTGTGTTCTGTGATGAAGGAGGGTTGGGGTGCCTGGGAAGGTGGCACCAATCACTGTGGGGGCCCAGTACCTGGATTTCTAGCTTCCCAGGTTCCCGCCCATCCCCCCGTGCACCCTCCCCCTCCATGTGCTGCCTGTGGGCGCAGACTCACCGCAGGTGCAGAGCCAGATGAGGGCTGCGAGCAGGAGGGCGCGGCTCCCCTTCATGGCCAACAGCGGAGGCTCCTCAGGAACAGCCTCAGACGGCTTTATGCCTCACACACACGCTGTCCTGGGGGCGGGCCCGACCTGCCCATCAGGTCCTGGCCAGTGAAAGCACAGGTGCGGCAGCCGAGGGTGTGTCCTCGCCTGGCCCTGCAGGGGGTGCCGAGCAGCAAGGGGTCTGGGGTGTTGTGAGAGGGTGGCTGGTGGACACAGGTCAGGGGTCACATGAGCCTGGTCGGTGAGGAGGGACGGGGCCGGGGGGGAGGCCGAGGGCCTCCGGCCTCGCGTGGCTTGTGGCTGAGAGTGGCAGGCTTTCCCGCTGGGCCCAGGCATTTCTTTTGGGTGGGGAGTCCCCTCCCTGCTCAGCGCACTTCATGGGCTGGCGTTAGGCTGAGTCCTGAGACAGCCTGGAGGTCTCCAGTGGGGCAGGGGTGGGGGGTTTCCTGGGGGCTTCCAGGAGCCTATGGGTGTGTGTGATGGGAGGTGGGCCCAGGGCCACAGGAGGCCTGAAGTGGGCAACCGTGTGCAGGGAACAGAGGGTGGGCCTGAGAGTGACCAAGGCGCCAAGAGCTGTGCCCTCTGCGGGGCCTGGTGGGATTACCTTGTCACCGCGGGAGGTGAGGAGGGGCTACAGTCTGAGACTCAGCTTCCCTCTGTGGTCAGTTCAGCTCAGGGCAGTCCAGGATCTGGGGGAGACAGTCCAATGTTACGATGGAGAAAGGGGGCTGGGGTACCTGGGCCACTAACCAGATGCTGGAGTCTGGCCCTTCCTTCGTGGGCCCGGCCCCTCTTCCCCTGTCCCGTGCTGCCACCTGGTGGCTGATGGCATCCTGCAGGACAGGCCCAGGGGCTCCTCGTTCAGCACTGACCTGCACCTCACCAAACCTCCAGACTGACCTTGTCTGGGCTAGTTACCACGACATCACTAGCCACCCTGCCCCTCACTTGCCCCCAGCCGGCCCTAAGTCTGTCAGACTGCAGGCCCTTGTGTCCCCCGAGCGCATGGAACTTCTCGTTCATTCAGGTGCCTGTTCCTAACAGGTATTCTGAATCCCCTTCGCTAACATGAAATGAAATCCTACTCACACACATAGTTCCCAGGAAATAGGAGACGTGATGTAAGATGAGCTCATCTGTAGCAGACAAAGTGGCTGTGTGGATGAGACTGACTGGGCAAATCTGAGCCCCTGGTCCCCAAGGGCCCCGGGGTTCTGGTCAGCGGGACAGCCTTTGCTCTGATTGGGCTCTGATGGACCTATCATCCTCTTTAGCTCAGTGGTCCTCTGGCTGCTTGCTGGGTCACCTGGAGAGACATTTCAAAGTGCTGTCCTGGGCTTTAGCAGAGCCTAGACCCATGGAAGCAGGGCCCCCAGGGGTGGGGCTGAATCCCTCCAGTCCTGATGGGGCTCCTCCTGCCCAGCATCCATTCCCCTTCCTCTCCGCTTTTCTCCCAGCCTCCAGGGTGCTGGTTTGATATATCAAAAACCACTTTTTAATGACTTAAGTGAAGTTGTTTTAATCCACTTGGTTATGACAGAGACCAAAAAAAAAGTTATTTCGGAAAGTAAACTTGTTTTGATCTAGGAATGAAGTGAGCTGTGTCAGGATGTCACTCCCTAGCCACAGGGGACTGGATGTCAGCTCCTGGTTGGTTAAGCCGACTCTCGAGAACCTCACCTTGGGTGGGTCCTTAGTGCTGCCGTGACTTCCTAGACCCCCAGGATGGATGTCCTCAACATATGTGCTATGGCTGTGGTCACACTGCCCGGGAGGTCTTACCCTCTGGGCCTCAGCTCTTGTTTCACTGAGAAACTGAAGTAATCAGAAGAAAAACTACACACAGTGCTATCAGCAAATCTACCACCCTGCCTTCACTTCCAGGTTAGTGTTTACTCCTGCTGCAGGAGAGGACCTGTCTTCACACACACCATTGGCGGGCCTCCTGTCACTTCTCCCCAGATGAAGGCTCTGTCACCTCTTTCTGCAGTGTCATGTCTCCTCTCTACTGCATCATTCTCATCAGCATTTGCTCATGCTGTACCATCACCCATCTTTAAGCAGAACACATCAAAATAAAGGCACTCCCTGAATGCTAGTGCTGGAGGCTCCCCAGGCTCCTCAGACCACTGTCCCTCAGCCCTATCTCGCTTTGGGCCCCCAGAGGCTCACAGCCTTCTGTTTTCTAACGGGAGGGAAAAATGGATTCTACATTCATTAGCTTTCTAAGCATGGAACTACTTTTAATGGAAAATTAAAATTCCTTTCCAAAAAAAAATCCCACAATGTTCTACCAATTCATAATGTATTTGGTTATAATTTTCACAGATGTGCAAACACCAAGATCATATTTGTTGCCAACTGAAAATTGGCAGTTGCCATCCGTCTCTGCTTGGATTAAATCATGAGCCGCTGCAGCCACTGACAGATATTACTATCCATCTCCAGAATTTTTTTACTTTCCTCAAGTGAAACTCTGTATCCTTAAGCACTAACTCCCATCAGCCCCTGGGAACTAATTTTTGTTTTTAATCTCTGAATTTGACTTTCCTGGATATCTCATGTAATTGGAATGATACGTTTGTCCTTCTGTGACCAACGTACTACATTTAGCATTGTGACTTTCAGGTTCATTCGTGCTGAAGCATGTGTCAGTATTACTTGAGTTTTCAGTGCTATCATATCGCATTGTGTATGGACCATGCTTTACTTACCCTTTCACCTGTCGTTGGATACTTGGGTTGCTTCCACCTTGTGTAGCTGTGAATAATGCTTCTATGGATATGAGGGTATAATCATCGGTTCCAGATGCTGCTTTCAAATATTTTGAGTATATAATGTGTGACTAGACAGAGCACATGTTAGCGCGGTTTCAGTATTTGAGGAACCGTGGCATTGTTTTTCATGGTGCGTGCACCATTTTACTGTGTTCCTTTTATGGCAGGACCATATAGTGGTTTAAGGATCTATGTCATTTTCTTGGTCCATTGTCCAGGTTGATGGACATTTGAACTGTTTCTATCTTACGCTGCTGTGAACACTGCTACTATCAACATGTCTGTGCAATATATTCTCTAGGATATGTTTCCCATGTTAGGGTTGGGGCTGCGATTGAGGTTGGGGTTACGGGTTAGGGTTAGGGA